CAATCAACTGTCAGCGGTCGTCAAGGGGAAAGAAACATCAACCAAAAGGATGAAGGTCGGGGGGGCAATTATAGTGGTAAACGCCAGGTCGATGGGCTATGCCTACTCCAGTGAGCAAAAATGATCGACGATCATTTATTTTACTTATCATACCGAAACCTATAATTCTTTTTGGGATTTCTCTGACGCCAGATGACAGTTATAACAAATAAGTGGTTTGTAATGCTGCATTTAACAATAGAAGCGAACATGTGAGTCCCAGGAAGTAATAAAGAAGAAGAAGTCAAGTCAAGTTTATTAAGGGAAATATAGGCAAACACCTATGAACTCCCTGTTGGTAAACATTATTTAAGAAATAAATCGACCCAGCCGAACAGCTTGTGCACTAATGCCTTGATAGCCGGTTTGTGGGTCGTGGACTGCTGAACTTTCAAGGCAGGTGGTGCACATGGAAGTGATGATTGCTCGGCCATCTGGCTGTCAGGCGCTGACGTAAGATGACGTGTTGGCCTGTGCGTTCCTCAAGTGGCGACTTGTTTTATCCAAATGGTGACTCCTTTTGGCCAAATTGGTGCTGGGGCCGAGCAATCATCAGGCGCAATTCCACAATGTGTGCTGCGTTTTCAGCAGGTCACGACCGCATGCCAGCCGGCAAGCAACAAACGCACAAGCGGGCAAGTATTCTTCCTATATTTTCAATTTATTCGGTTTATTTGGTGAGCTTCATAGGCAAATGCCTTTGAAAACCCTATTGATTATATGCTGTTACGTCATATACATTTGTACACGCACGCCTAAAATGGTCACTATTAAAGTGGTATTCACAAACAATGAGTAGCATTATTTGTTAAACAAATAACTCTTGCCTTTTGAATGATGTTCGCTCGAGTTGTTACTGTCGTTGGACAGCAGGGGACCCAAGCGTGCAGTTACATAGTGACTGTATCCTATGAATACTGCTACTGTCTGCGCTGTTGTCTCTGTCTCTGTTAAATGATCCCCTACGGATTTCGAAACGTTAGCCGAATAAAAGAATTGTCCCAGCGATCTGATCTTCTTCTACGAGCAGTTATGTTGTGCATGGATTACTGAGAATGCATTTTTCCTCTGCAACGAAAATTGAGGTCCGAAATTGACCATGTTTACAATTGTTTGCAGGGCCACCAGTCTTCAGCATGTCTTTTAGCGAAAAAATTCCAGTGTCCAGACACGTCACTTCTGAGAGTAGGTAGCACAAACTATTTTAAATTCAAACCTGCTTCAAATGTAGTGACTAAAAATTAAGATTAACCGTCAAATGCATGTCACATTATGTTCCAGGAAATAGGGATATTTATCCTTGGAGATACACTGCGCTTCAGCAGGTGGCATACAATATCCACTAGTTGTTGAAGCTTTCATTTGAGCTGTCGCAGGTTATTTCACCCCGCATCCTTTAATATATTTGCGGGCTTTTGAAGTTGAACTGTCCTGCTGTCGGTGCTCGTAGACAATTTCTTATTGTACATCACATAGCTGTTTTCGCTTTGCTGTACACATTCATTTTCCGGTAAGATTATATCGTGGGGTCGTATGGGCAAT